CGCCGTCGCGGTCGACGACGCGGAGCTCGACGCGCTCGCCGAGGTTGCAGCCGACCTCGTAGGCCTCGTCCCACGACGCGTCCGGGAACGCGGCGCCGCCGTCGACCGTCGTCTCGAACGCCACGGCGCCGCCGACGACGGCCCGCACGTAGGCCGCGCCGCCGCGCTTGAGCAGGTGAATATTCCGCAGGTGGCGCGCGCCGCGCACGGAGACGCGGGCGCGGTGGTCGCAGACGCGGAGCCGGTCGACGCGGTAGCGCGCGTCGCGCGCGCGCTCGAAGCGTCGCCGGAGCCGCGACGCGGCGACGCTCTCCGCGTGCATCGCCGCCCGCGCGGCGCAGGCGTCGCGGCCGCGCCGTGCCGCGCGCCGGAGGAAGCCGTGCGCGACGAGCGCCTGGCCGACCCAGTGCGCGTCCTGCGCGCTCGACGCGTCGTTGCCGGCATCGGCGACGAGCCACGCGACGACGTCGAGCGACGAGATGGAGTCGTCGAAGAGCCGCGCGTCGAAGTAGGCGCTCCGGTCGTTGACGGGCTCCAGGGCGCGGAGCAGGCGCAGCGCGAGCGCCCGCAGGAGCTCGAGCGCCTCGCGGGACACGACGACGGGCCCGTCGGCGCGGGATCGCTCGATCATGCTCAGCTGCATCATACTCTGATCGATGCAGCATACACCTAGCAAAAAAACCCGAGGGGGTTGACCGCCGGTATGCCTGGTAGTATGCGCCCGCTATGCGGGCTTTATGCGGGCTTTATGCGGGTGTTATGCGGGTGGTATGCGGGTGGTATGCGGGTGGTATGCGGGTGGTATGCTGGTGGTATGCTGGTGGTATGCGGGTGGTATGCGGGTGGTATGCGTCTGCTATGCTGGTGGTATGCGGATGCTATGCCGGTGGTATGCGGCTGCTATGCTGGTGGTATGCGGCTGCTATGCTGGTGGTATGCTGGTGGGTTGCTATGCTGGTCTTATGCGCCTGCTATGCTGGTGGTATGCGGCTGCTATGCTGGTCGCCGGGTCTTATGCGCCTGCTATGCTGGTGGTATGCGCCTGCTATGCGCCTGCTATGCGCCTGCTATGCGCCTGCTATGCGCCTG